GGCCCAAGACTATGAAACTACTAGAAGAAAACATGGGAGAAACACTACATGAAATTGGATTGGGCAATGCTTTTTTGAACAAGACTATAAAGGCACAGGCAACAGAAGAAAAAATAGACAAATGGGATGACATCAAAATAAAAAGCTTCTACACAGCAAAGGAAGAGAATTAATCAAGTTAAGAGACAACACACAGAAGGGGAGAAAATGTTTGCAGACTATGCATCCAACAAAGGGCTAATATCCAGTATATATAAGAATTTCAAACAACTCAACAGCAAAAAAGCAAACAACACAATTTAAAAGTGGACAAAGGATCTGAGTATACATTTTTCAAAAGAAGAAATACAAATGGCCAACAGGCACGTAAAGAAATGCTTTACATCACTAGTCATCAAGGAAATTCAAATTAAAACCACAATCAGATATCACCTCACTCTGGTTAGAATGGCTATTACCAACAAGATGAAAAATAACAAATGCTGGCCAGGATGTTTATAAATGGAAACTCTCATACATTGCAAATTAATATGGCCATTATGGAAAACAGTGTGGAGGTTCCTCAAAAAATTAAAAATAAAAATACTTTATGACTCAGCAATTTCACTACTGGGTACATTCCCAAAGGAAATGAAATCATTGTACCAAAGAAACATCCGCACTCCCACATTCATTGCAGCACTATTTGTAATAGTCAAAAGATGAACCAACCTAAACTTTCATCGATGAGTAAGTGGACTAACAAATGTGGTCTATATACAAAATGAAATGCTATTTGGTTAAAAATTTTATAAAATAAAATCCTGTCATTTTCAGAAATATGTATGGAACTGGAGACGATTATGTTAAGTGAAGTTAGCCAGGCACAGAAAGACAGATACCATATGATCTCACTTCTATGTGCAATCTTAAAAAAAAAAAAAGTAATTCTCATAAAAGTAGAGGGTAGAACAATAGTTCCCGGGGGCTGGAAAGGCAAGGGTTGAGGGATGACATGGAATAATGGGTACAAAGTTACAGGTAAATAGGAAGAACGAGTTCTGCTGTTGTAGGTTAACTATTGCTAATGGTATTTCACTGTATATTTCTAAATGGCTAGAAAAGAGGATCTTGACCATAATCACCACAAAGAAAAGATAAATGTTTAGGTGATGGATATGACATCTACCCTAAGTGAATGACTGTCCAATATATGCATGTATTGAAATAACACACTGTGCCTCACAAATATTTACAGTTAACAATAAATAAATTAAAAAGAAATAGAAAAACAAAGAAAGGTTAAAAAATAGTTAAACATAGAGGTATCAATTCTACTCTTAGCTATATACCCAAGATAACTGAAAACATATGTCCAACAATAACTTGTATTTGAATGTTCACAGCAGCATTACTCACAACAGCCACAAAGTGGAAACAACCCAACTGTCCGC